TTGATGTTATTCAGTAGCCCTATCGGAAAAATTATCTCACAGTGCATTTTAGTCAATTGTAGAACTGGGTTAGATACTTCAGTCGGTCATGCGAGACAACTAGGTCCTCGGTCAGAATGTCAGTACTCATCAATAGGAACTATTCAATATATCTACTAGTATGTGCATTTAGACCCTTCGTTGGATTGTTTCACATGTCTGGTAGAGATTCTCTTATACCTTGAAAATGCCTTACAGTAATTAGGCATTTTCATCATTGAACATTCTGAATATCGTTGTACAAAGGATAAACAAGATCTGTTCGTAGCTCTGTTTTTTAACATACCTCTTTAGCGAAGAAAATCTTCGTTGTCGACAAAATCATCTTCAGAGGCGACCATACAGCCGACCGAAAGCTGCTACCTTGTCGTGGTGGTCGGGCTTGAACACTGCAATGACCCAACAAGCTATACTGGCTGGAACTTATGTTCCTGCAGGTCCTACCATGCCAGAAAGGTTGTTTGGATAGCGGTTAGACAAAAAGCAGTTACCCAATCCAATCCTATGACTTTAAATAAATCACAAAATATCATGCCGGATCGCTCGGGGCCCGGATTAACAACGACCGCGCTTTCTGCTGCCGTGTCACAGGGCAGAAGTGATAAATACGCTACTGAGACACACCAAATTAAAAACAACAAACAAAAACAGGCCGTGTGTGACCGGCCTCAAGCAGTTGTCCCCTGGGCTCTGCGGTCACGCAACCAACTTCCACGGTGTGGGCAGCCGGGAAGTAACAATCGCCCTCACAATCCGAAGTGCGCACGAAACCTCTCTAATCCTCACTCACCTTTGTCTTCATCTCTATTATCCTACCTTCCTTCTACTAATACAACTCCTCTACTTAATAACCCTTCACTTCCTCTTGACTCTGTGTGCACTGATAACGATGGAAGCCAAAAAACCACCATCGATAGTCTCCTAAAGCCACGTCACCAATTTCATATAGGGGCATTTAATGTTAGGACACTTTGCCAAATAGGACAACAGGCATCACTAGCCAAGACTCTGGCATCCCGAGCCATTGATGTATGTTGTGTTTCAGAAACACGCATACAAGACCCAAGTGTGGTTATTCACCTAACCCCACCTGGCCAACAGGATGAATCTGCAAAATTCACCTTGAGGGTGTCAGGAGATGCGACGGCTAGGTCACGAGGATTAGCTGGTGTTGGGATAGCTTTAAGTACTAGAGCAGAAAAGACATTACTTGACTGGATCCCGGTAGATAGCCGAATGTGCGCTGTCCGCCTGAACGGATCAGTGAAAAGGAGAAAGGACTGCACTACTCGCCGATGCCTTTTCGTAATCTCCGCCTACGCCCCCACTGACTGCAGTTCGGATGAAACGAAGGATGAGTTCTACCAAAAGCTGTCTAGTTTGCTGCGAAAGGCTAGACGCTCAGATATAGTCGTTTTAGCTGGTGACTTTAATGCTCAAGTAGGGAAATTGTGTCAATCTGAGAAGAATGTTGGTGGCACATACGGAATTCCGTGCCAGCGAACAGACAACGGTGACCGTCTCCTACAGTTCTGTTCAGATAATCACTTGTTTCTTGTAAGCACTAACTTCAAACACAAGGAGAGACACTGTTTGACCTGGCGACCCCCATCATCAAACCAACGCTGGACACAAATAGACCACATAGCAATAAGCCATCGTTGGCGTGGGTCGGTAGGGGATTGTCGCTCCTTCTGGAACACGTGTGTAGATACCGATCACGCACTGGTCCGCGCTCGTGTGTGCTTACGACTGAACGGACGTAGGAAACAGCTGGCGGTAAACCCATCACGTCCCCAGCTCGATCAGGAAACTAAGGTCCTATTTGAGGAAGAACTAGCTAAACACATATCTGAGTTCGATAGCTGCTCTCACCCTGAAGAAGCCTGGAAAAATATTCAATCAGCCATAGATACAGCTGTAAAAGCTGTGAATAAGGTAAATCCAAAGGTGAGTAAAAACCATTGGATTTCGACTGCCTCATCCTAACTGATAGATGCTAGAAGACTTATTCCGGCGAGCTCCGAATTCAATGAGGAGCGAAAGCTGCACAAAAGGAAACTTACGAAAAGTCTCCGCAACGACCGTGAACAGTGGTGGTTGACAAAGGCGAAAGAGATGTAAAAAGCATCGGCGATAGGCAACACTAGGCAACTCTTTAGACTCATCAGGGAAACGGGTGGGAGAAGGCAAATCATAAGTGAGACTATTTGTGAGAAAAATGGCTCCTTAATTAGTTCTCAGGATAGACGCCTCGAACGCTGAAAAGAACACTTCGAGGAACAGTTTAACTTGCATACAGCCACACTGAGCCTCCCCGCCATCCAGCACACACCCGAATGGGACATAGACACTGGCCCGCCGTCTGTAAGTGAGGTCACCAAAGCAATCTGTAATTTGAAACGAGGCAAAGCGACAGGACCCGACGGAATCATTCCGGAGGTGTTTAAATATGGGGGTGACATACTAGTATATAGTTTAACTAAGGTACTAGGTAACGTCTGGGAATCAGAGACGGTTCCATCAGACTGGGGTAAGTCACTTATCATACCAGTATTCAAGAAGGGAGACAAGTCGTCATGTGATAATCATAGGGGGATCAGCTTAACGAACATAGTCTCTAAAATCCTAGGCTCAGTAATCATGAACAGACTAAGCCGAACTCGGGAGGAACAAACGAGGGAAAACCAAGCGGGCTTTAGGCCAGGTAGAGGGTGCATAGATCACATCTTCACTCTCCGACAGATCCTAGAACATAGACACACTTTTAGGCGTCCAACAATTGCCATATTTCTTGACTTGAAGGCGGCCTTCGACTCCGTGGATCGAGAGGTACTATGGCAATGTTTGACTATGAAGGGAGTGCCAAGAAAGTACATTGCACTAATCAAGGCACTCTACTCAAACTCACGTAGCCGTGTAAGGGCTTATGGGGAATTGTCATCTGAATTGATAACAACCAGTGGTGTCCGTCAAGGATGTCCACTTTCCCCATTTCTGTTTAACTTCATCATAGATATGCTAATGGAAGTATCCTTAACTGAACTTAACGACTTAGGAATCGACTTGCTACCAGGGAATAGTCTTATAGACTTAGAATACGCAGATGACATAGTCCTGTTAGGAGAGGACGCTGACAAAATGCAGAGTCTTCTGAACACCTTGAGCAGCAATCTTCTTATGTTTGGCATGCGATTCGCCCCTGTGAAATGCAAGATGCTGCTATAGGACTGGACTACGTCAACTCCTAGCTTAGTGATAGGGAGTGAAGTGATAGAACATGTTGACCACTTCACCTATTTGGGAAGTTGTATCAGCACCAACGGATTGATTGGTGACGAAATCACAGCACGGATCCAGAAAGCTCGGGCTGCTTTCGCTAACTTACATCGTCTCTGGCGTAGGCGTGACATCCGGCTGTCAACCAAGGGACGTGTATACTGCTCAGCAGTTCGCTCCGTCCTTCTCTATGGCGGTGAGACGTGGCCATTGAGAGCGGAAGACATGAAGAGATTGTCTGTTTTTGACCACAGATGTTTACGATCTCTTTCTCGCGTTAGGTGGTATAATAAGATAAGTAATGTTGACATTAGGCGCAGAGTGTTGGGTAAAGAGGGAAAATCAATCGAAGAGGCTATAAAGTTACATAGATTGAGGTGGCTAGGTCACGTGCTGCTCATGCCTAACCATCGCCTCCCCCGACAGGCATTACTAGCTGATATATGTGCAGGTTGGAAAAGAGTAAGTGGTGGCCAAACAAAAACATCGCATCAATCAATCCATGAAATCCCTGACAGTTAAACTGAGTCAGGTAGGGAGATGCAGACTTCCGGGTTGGGGCCCACCCTCGGGACTCTAAGAATCAATGGCTGGAGACAATAGGTGACATGGCTCAAGATCGTTGTCAATGGATTAAGCAGATGTATTCAGTCTCTGTAATATTCATCATATTCCTTTCTACCATTACTCATTATGTTTCACTCTTATACTTATCTAAATTCTATTGATTCTCTTCACTCATTTTCTTGTCTATCTTTGTGTGCTATTTGGAACGTGGCAACTGGAACTGGTGCACTTCGGTGCCAAGTTCTATGTTGAATCCAGACAGACAGACAGACAGTACAGTCGTATTTATATTTACCGGAAATGTAAAGTGGTCTATCATTGAGTAATACGCTAGGTGACATAATTGATATTAATTACTCAGAAGTTGCTTTAGAAGTAAAAAAAATGCTGGCGAACTACACGTCTCATTCTCTACAGGACCGATGGTGCTACCTCGACTGAAAAATGAAGTACCTAGACTAGCTAGCCACTTCAAATTGCATCTACCGATTCAACTGGGCTTGTGGAGCGAGTTATGTCGACCGTTGCTCTAGGAACTTGATTTTTCGTGCTCGAAAACATATCCCACTATGGCTAAGTAAAGGTGTGGTTAAAACTATTAACAGTTCGATATTGGACCATCTGGTCACAAAGCCAGAGTAGAAGAATCCTTCTCTATCATCTACCGGGTGCCTAACAAATTACCAAAATCGTTGAAGCACCGCATGCTGCAAACAGCAGAGGCTATTGCAATTCGCCTCAAACAAACAGTGCTCTGTGTTCAAAAGAAACAAGTCCAGACACTAATACTGCCCTGGCCCTCAGTATAAACTATAAACTCATGAATTTGTAATATTATCTTTCCTAATTCTTCTGACATTCAGTTTATTTTATGTTGACTCTGTTCAGCTGTGATCTATCAAAATTATTTATTCGATGTTATTTAAACAACATTAATGTTTTTCATAACACTAATCCATTCATTCATTCATTATAATGTGTATATATAATTGTAGAACCTGATGATGAAGGGGTTATCGAAAAGAGTACTCTTTGTTCTGTGTCTATTCTTTTGAAAATAAAAATTGTAAATTACTCTTTGATTATTGATTTATTTTCTTTTTAATAAAAAATAGATTGGAATTGCAATGTCACCGTTAAGCAATAATTCCTTATTCTTGGATTACCATCGTAATCCCCTGAATGATTATTTGGCACGTGGCCTGTTCGTCAGTTTGAGTACCGACGATCCATTACAATTTCATTTTACAAAAGAACCCTTAATTGAAGAGTACAGTATAGCTGCACAAGTGTGGAAATTCACTTCTACTGATATGTGTGAATTAGCCCGTAACAGTGTGCTGATGAGCGGTTTCTCTCCTTTGGTAAGTTAACATTGTCACTTATATCTGTTATTATTATTAATATTATTTCTGGGTTTGACAGTATGACGGGGTCTGGGTTTTTTTTTCCGGGTAACTTGATGACTTTAAAAGGCCTACTTTGTACTTTGCCCTAATTTCCTTTACGTTCCCGGTGGAACATAGGGCACCTTCAAGCTACAGACTTGAAGTTTCGCTAGCAGTGGTGTTTATTTTTACAGGATGAGGTTGTTAGCCTCATGCCCAACCTTCCTTCTCTGTTTACCAGTCATATTACTGGCTTACCGAGGTAGGGGAGTGCTTCGGTATCCGGAGATCGAACCTGGGGCCACGTGATACGTGGTTGGCGAGCATTCCACCTCTGTGCCACCGACGCACTAAAGATGTGTGCAGGCCGTGACTCGAACCCTGTACAACGTGCATGGTCGGCCAGAGCTCTGCTGCTGAACAACCGACACTATACTTTGTATTAATAAACTTCTTTTTTATCTATTCCTTTGGGTTCTGACGGGAGCTTTGGGCTTTTTGAGTTTTCATCAGCGGTAGTAGGGTTGCTAACCTTACGCTTTTTTTTTCTTAGCATAGTAACAGGTTGAAGACTGATTAGTACCTTGAGGGATAGAACTCATTGGACCACCGATGCATATTTGTAGACCCTCTTTATATCAAGATGACGCTACAACTTCCGAATTGGTGACATACGGAATTTGAGTGTGGAATGCACGCAACAAAGAGGTACAAAAATATTCAGCTGGCATTATTTTTAACCAGTGCGTCGGTGGCACAGTGGTACAATGCTCGCCGACCATGCATGTGGTCCGTGGTTCAATCCCCGGCCACAGGCGCACTCTTTTTCCTCGCTAAGCCGGTAATAAGACTGCTAAAGAAGGAAGGTTGGGCATGACGCTAACAATCTCATCCCGTAAAAATAAACAACACTGCTACCGAAACTTCAAGCCTCAAGCTTGAAGGTGCCCTATGTTCCACTGGGTGAGGATTTCAAAGCGAGAATCGGAAAGGCAAGGTACGCCTTCATTACTCTAAAAGCAGTTTGGAAGTCTTCTGCATTCAGCATAAAGGGACAAGATTTGGATTATCAGCATTAATAATGTTAATTCACTCTTTCTATATGGATGAATTCAGTGCTACTATACTTATCAGAGACTTGCACTGCGCGTCATAAAGAGCATCTCAAACAAACTACAGACCTTCATCAACAGTTGTCTTCGCTCATTACCACTCAAGATCAGATGGCCGGCCAGAAAAGATCACCAACAGAGAGGGATCTGTGGCAATTAGCGAACCAACTCAGCAGGAACCGATTGTCAAACAAATAGGCAGGAAGAAATGGAGGTGGATTGGCCATACTCTGAGGAAACCTTCAAGTGACATCACTAGACAAGCCATCGCTCGAGTGGAACCCGACTGTATTAGAACCGGCGAGTTGGTCGTCAGTGCAAGGGTGGGTAACTTGGAGGAGGTCATGTGAAGAGGAGATGAAAGCATGTGGGGAAACTTGGAGTCAGGTGAAGACTCTAGCAGAGAACCGAACGCAATAGAGACGCATGGCTGAAGCCCTATGTTCCTCTAGGAATTAAAGGAAACAATAGTAATAATATAGATGGATCAAGAACTTGACGCTCATGTTACGGGAAACATTTCCAAAATCCCGTTGCAGACTTTTTTCAACAACTGACTTTACTTCATATTGAATGGAAAGCAACGAGTGGGTCGTCACTACGAGGGTGGCATAGAGGAGATGAAAGATTATGGGGAATTGTGGTACCAACTAAGGAGGACAGCAGGGAACAGAACAAACTGGAGATGTGCTGTTGAAGCCCTACCTTCATTCTCTAACCTCACTTATCTGGTAGTAAGGCCGTAAAAGTGTCGAGGTTGAGCTTGAGATGAGCAACCACATCTTGTTAAAAAAAATAAAATATCTGCTGCTGAATCTCCAAAGCTTCAGCTTTGAAGTCCTATATCTCACTTGGGATGCAAAGAAATGACATCTGAATTCGGTTGGAGGATTTCATCATCATCATCAGTTAGAGAACCATTGGAAAACCTGGGACTCTTCATCTGTACGCACCCACCCATCTAGTCCCAGTGGCCTAATGGTCTACGAGTTCACCTTCTAACCAAAAGGCCTTGGGTTCGATCCCCGGTGGGTGTGTGCTGTTGAAGAGTCTCGGACTAGGATGAAACAGCTTCCGGGTACTCCCAGTTGGTTTTCCAATGGTTCTCTAACTGATGTCAGCTCATGATGCAATCCTCCAAGCAATCAAACAAAACCCCTAAAAAAATCAATACTTGAGAAATATCTCAATTTATTTATTTATTTATTTCTCATTGTTTCATTTCATCCTTCTTCTTCTTCTCCCATAGATTAAATCTCATTGGCTTGGACCAAATTACACGCAAGAAGGTGTTATGGGAAATGATGTCACTCGAACTAATCTGCCTAATATTCGTGTTGCGTATAGATTTGAAACATTGACACAAGAGCTACGCCTACTGTTAAATTCTGTGCTTGCCAATCGTGCTAGTGGTTCCGTTTCACCGAATACTGCATCAATACATTCACCAAAGAAGATTTATGCATCTCCAACACGTGGAGTTGGCACGACAGCAGCAGTAGCAGCAGGAGGCGGAGTAGGAAGTGGAATTGGAGTTGGAGTTGTTGATCACCAGTCAACAAAATAAACTGTGTTCTTATTTTTCCCCTCAATCGATACCAAGAATATCTCATTTATCGAATTTCTCTCTTTCTCTCTCTCTCTCTCCCTCTCGCCTTCTTCTGATTTATGAATCAATCAAGCGAATCTATTTTATCAGAATTGTTTTAAAAAAATGAAGCTGGTGTACACATTTTTCTTTGTTATACAAAAAAACTGCCCTAGAGATTAAATTAAATCAATAAAGATGAATGATAGTTATGAATAAATCGATCAATGATTCAATCAGGTAGCGATGATCCACACACACTCACTCACTGTCATGATTATTATTATTATTATTCATATTCTTAGTAATTTTATGCTGCTTTACTGTGTCCTATATGTTCCTCTTTATTCCTTCACTATTAGTTAGTCTTCTGCTCACAATACGTTCACATAATTGTAGATAAACCCCGTTTTCGGGAAATTTAATTTGTGTATCTCAGTCCTTATCTCTCACAAACACACGGACACTGTCCTTTTCCAGTTTATTGTAATAATTGTGGGGGGCTAATTAACTTTGAGACATTTGATGGATGTACTAGGCTATTACAGATGCCGATGAAGAGGGCGGGGCTGTGGGGATCATTTCCCCTTTACATCTGTTCTATGTTTCTTCCACTTTTTCTCCAGAATTTGATTATTTGTGTGTGTGTATGTGTACTTGTGGGCGTGAGCATGCATGTTTGTGTGTATGCTGTTACAAAGACTTAAACTCACTTGCTTCTAGGGGCGCGCATGATATGCACATTATGCGTGTTTGTGTGTGTAAGGTGTGTGGTTTGAGAAAATCTGTTTCTCTACGTATGTATGTAAGTATGTATGTATACATCAATATTTTTCTGATTATTATCCTTCCGATTCCAAAAAATAAATAAATAATCGATCATGTTTTAAACGGGAGTGTTTTCTGCGTTCTTTCATGTTTTGATCGATATAATGTCAATGATATTGTGTATGTGGGGAGAGGGATATTTAATGGAATTGTTAATAATAATAAAACAATAGGTTTCAAGAGTTGGCTTTTAAGGATTAGATTTCATTTTACGAGTTGATCACGGATTGAAATCAGTTGGAGAACCATTGAAAACCGGGGAGTGTAATCTGAAGTGGTGACGACTAGTGGCTTCCGTCAAGGATGCCCATTGTCCCCATTTCTATTCAACTTCATCATAGATGTACTAATGGACTTAACCCTAACTCACTTCAGAGACTCAGGGATTGCCTTGCTACCAGGAAATAATCTCGCTGACTTAAAATATGCAGACGATATAGTGCTTCTAGGCGAGGACGCTGACAAAATAGAGCAGTCTCTTCTGAACACCTTCAGCAGCAATTTCCGTATGTTTGGCATGCGATTCGCCCCTGTAAAATGTAAGATGATGTTGCAGGATAGGACTACACCGACCCCTAGATTAGAAATAGGAAGTGAAATGGTAGAGCACGTTGACGGCTTCACTTATTTAGAAAGTTGCATCAGCTAACGCCATCAGGTTGATCTCTGACGAAATCTCAGCACGGATGCAGAAAGCTCGTTTGGCATATGCCAGTTTACGCTGTCTCTGGCGTAGACGTGATATCCGGCTATCGACCAAGGGCGGGTGAAATGCTCAGCAGTCCGCTCCGTCCTCCTTTATCACTGTGAGACCTGGTCATTAGGAGTGGAAGACATGAAAAAATTAGCTGTCTTTAATAATAGGTGCCTGTGAAGTGGGATAATAAGGTGAGCAATATTGAGGTTAGGCACCGAATGCAAGATAAGGAGAGGAAATCAATCGACATGGCTGTGAAATTACATCGACTGAGATGGTTAGGACATGTGCTACGTATGCCTAGTCATCGCCTTCCTCGACAATGGGCAATGTTAGCTGACATAGGGTCAGGCTGGAAAAGAGCCAGTGGCGGTCAAACCAAAACATGCCACCAGTCAATGAAATCCACAACAGTTAGTTTAGGCCAGCCACGTAGGAAGGTGTAGACTTCCTGGTTGAGGTCCTCGGGACGGTAAATACCAATGGCTAGAGACAATCGGCGATATGGCTCAAAATCGTCCTCAATGGCTGGCGCAGATGTATCCACTTCTTGTGACTTATAATTTTCAATGAAACTACATTGTTCTTCGTTATTACTATTCCTTTTGTCTCATATCACTGTCTCTGTTATGCGTTTCTTCTACTTTCTTCTCTTGCTTTGTGTGCTACAAGGAAGGAGTGTGGCGACTTGAACTGCCGCACATATGTGCAAAGTTCTATGTCGAAAACAGACACAGACAGGGAGTACGCGACGGGTCGCTGCCTCATCCTAGTTTGGGACTCATCGACAGTACTCACCCACTGCCAGACTTCGAACCGAGGACCTTCCGGTCACAAGGCCAGCTCGTGTGATTCTCAAACTAGGAGGGACAGCTGGCTGTCCAGTACGCCCTGGTTAGTTTTCAATGGTACTCTAACTGATATCAATCCTTTGTCAAGCTCCTAAAAAAATAATAATAGCTTTGAAGAATCATTTTCCTATGGGGTAATCAATTCTACAAACGAAGAAAGGGATCACGTGACCATTTTTTCACGATGCATCCAAAAAAGTTACCATGGTCAGGCAACTCCGAAATTGCCGGCCTGGTATGGTTAAGCTAGGGGTTGGGTGAGGGTAGACTTCGTTATCCCTCTCAAAATGCTCTCATGTAGCCACACGCTCATAGCGCCTTTATCAGGTAGGTGTTATTCACAGCTTCCACAAGCGGTGGAAAAGGGGCAAATGCAAACGTGTGGGATGGTGTGTGAACTTGTTTTCATGACTGAAGGCCATGGGAATGTAGATCCTGACACTGCTTCACTTTTCTGTGGATCAGACATTCAGTAAAAACGCTCAGAAGAAGATTGAGTGGGGGGGGGTCGGTCACTTAAGACAGTCACCATCAACTTCGGTATGGGCGTTTGAGCACTATGTATCCCAGCTCTGTCATAAACTATGAGATTTTATATGGCGTAGTTTTTGGTTTCCATAGTGTACCAAACTTGTGATTTGTTAAATAATGAATAAATTCCAGAGATTTGACATAATGGAGAAGATTAGTAGCCCAGATGGATTATTTTCGCGTAGTTGTGTTTCCTGAGCTGCGGAGCTTTAAGTGCTTTACTAGGCAACACCTTCAGTGCATACTTCAATTCGAATTGAAGTGAGCTTTTAGATTTCTCCAAAAGTTTATAAGTCATCTCCTGGTGGGTGACCTTCAATGCCGTGGTTGGTAGTGTGTTTTGTGTGTTTTCACACCCTCTAGTCTACTTGTGTTGGCAATAATCAAAAGAAAGGAGTTGGAAAAAAACCACGAATTAATAAACAACGTCTTCGGCCTACATCGAATTCACAAGAGAAGAGGAATCTGAGGACAAAATTCCATTTTGAAATGTCTTAGTCACGCGAACAACCACAGGAAAATTAGTAACTCAAGTTTGTAGAAAATCAACCCACACATATCAAATATTCATTTTTAACAGCAACAACACAATAAGACACAAAACCAGTTGTATACTATTACTACCCAAGAGAGCCAGTCAAGACTCATTATAGCACTCCCACTTTAAGGAAAATTGAAGAAAGATATCTCATAGACGTCTTCCAAAAGAATGAATGGGTATCCACGAAATTTCATCAAAAGACATCTAGCCACAACCCAACCTATCAAATCAAAGGCCCCACTGGAAACCCAAAGAAAGCCGTCTTACCTTACATAAAAGACATCTTAGAAATCACTGCAAGACTCTTCAAACCTTTAGGAATTGATGTTGCATATAAACCAAAAAAATCTATTCACGCAGCTTTGTGCCAACCCAAAGACTCAACAGCACAAGAAGGTGTAACCAACATTGTCTACAAAATAAATTGCAACGACTACGAAAAGCAATGAATTGGCCAAAGTAGACGTCCTCTTCCTATTCGCATCCATAAACATAAACTAGCCGTCAAAAGACATGATATCCACTCCCTCATCTCGCTGCATACAAACAGACACGGAGACCAATTCGACTGGGACAAACAACGTTCAAATATGAGACAGAGGAAACACTAAGAATGCTGGAGAATTTTTAGAAGCCAGACTGGTATTCCAGTGAATCATCGATCAATAGACACATTGACACAGACAAAATTTACTGATCAATAGGAAGGAAATCTCATACACACAAAGGGTTAAACTTCAGGTCAAGGAAATAATCAATACCAATATAAATGGACTGTAGGGTGTGTAAACAGACAAGTGCAACCAATCACGAAGTTGAAGGTCATCAGGAGAAATGACTAATAAACTCGTGGAGAAATCGAAAAGCTCACTTCAATTCGAATTGAAGTATGCGTTGAAGATGTTGCACAGTATTACAATGAAACCTTTGCAAGTAAACCAGCAAGCTCAGAGAACACAAACACATCAAAAACGCCAGAGTTTATTCAATATCTAGTAGAATCGAATTCCTAATATTGCCTTGGAAGATATTTGAACAAAGAAATATTGGAAAACAGGATCAAACGGATGGGTCCATTTTGTTCCGTTGGTTGGTTTCTCCTACCATTTGCTTACAAACCTGAAACAATAATGCAAGATAATAAATAGTTTTATTGTTACAAATTCAACATAATCCTTTGAACACATCAACTCGAAGGTAGAAACAATTCAATTCATAAATTGTGAATTAGAAAGTCAGGAAGGGAGGCTTCTAATGTTAGTTAGATTGTAGCGTAAAAAAACGAAAGAACATGGGAAGTTAAACACAATAGTGTTTACAGGAAACCCACACATTCAAATCGATATTTGGACTTCCACTTATCCCATCCTATGTCAAGGAAAATAGGGTTGGTGATATGTTTCAATAATAGAGCACGAAAACTAAGTAATAACAGGGAAAATCTAAGACGGGAAGTGAGGCATATAAGAGAAGCATCGAAACTTAATAATTACCCTGATAAATTAATCGGGAAGTATGTAGGGAAATGTAAAACTAAAATAAATAATGATAGAAGTGATAATAATAGTAGTAATGTAACAACAGAAGACAAGGGCCAGGCAACAGAACGTTTATTACGGAAAATCGACACATATTTATAGATTTTGATGTACATTATTGTAGGTTAATGTTAGTAGAAAATGCAGTCTGTTGATTGGTTGTTTCTCACACAAAGTTAACCTTGCATATCTTGTGGCTGTGTCAGCTCATCTATATGTTAACTGTAACCGCCTGTCCACCTTGACCTTTGACCTCAATTACTGTCAACCAATTTGGCTAGCAACCATCTCTCACCACAGTGATATTAATGACGACATGCATGTAAAGCATGCGGAAGACGATAGCAACAATAAGGAATCTAAGTCATCAGTACTACTTCCATACAAAGAAGGAACCTAGGAAATCTTACGTAGAATTCTCAACAATGCAAGCAGGAATAAGAGTGGCATTCAAACCCACAAACTCGCTTAAAAACAAACTACTTCGGTTTGAGGATCCTGCGGATCCAATTAAACAAAACACTTCTGTTTATCTAATACGCTGCCTACAATGATAGTCAGGTCAAATACAAAAGTCAAAGCAGTGGAACGGGGTTAGTCACAGTAGCAGAGCACAAAAATCTAGCAAAATCTGGATTAGTTGATCCCAATAATAAGATAAAAAAAATCTGGCGAATAGTTCCGCTATAGCACTACACCACATGCGACTACATACAGCCATTCAATAGGATGAATGGGATAAGATGACAGTTTTAAAATCTAATGTAACAGCAGGGTGGAGGTAGAGATTAATAACAGAAGTTTTATTTATCGAATCAACTGCAAACACATGTAATAGGAGTGATTTAACATCTGTCCAGTTGGACATCTGGAAAATTCTACTACCCCTATAAAAATCGGTCGTACCATGTGCCAACTTGCAAAACGCCCTCGTGAACACTATCCAGCCTGGCTAGTAAAAGGATTACGAAAAT